GTGATTATGGGACTGACGCAGCCTACTGCGCTACCGAGGGCTTCGCTGAACTTTTCGATCGCTAGAGGTTACTTTGGTAAAGATGTCACATCCTAAAATGTAAACTTTGCCCCATTAGCGGGATCAAACTCACGACATTCCGACACTCGCTGTAGTGATTTATGATATTTTACTTGCCTACTGCTCTACCGAGGGGCTTCGCTGGTTTCGATCATAGAGTTATACAGTAAAAGATGTCACATCCTAAAATGTAAAACGGCGCTGCCGTGTAGGATCAAACTCACGACATTCACATTACCTCGCTGTAGTGATTATGATGGCTGCGCTGCCTACTGCTCTACCGAGGCTTCATGGTTTCTATCATGAGAGAGTTATGCAGTAAAGATGTAACATCCTGGATGAAAACGGCTGCCCAGGTGAGGATCGAATCACGACGCTCGAGATTACTCGCTGGAGTGATTATGACGACACGCTGCTCTACTGCTATGAGCTTCGGTGGTTTCTATCATAGAGGATTATACAGTGAAAAAGATGTAACATCTAAAATGAAAACGGCTGCGCGGTGAGGGATCGAACTCGACCTTCGGATTACTCGCTGGAGTGATTATGAGACTGGACGCGCTGCCTGCACTTGCGCTACCGGGCTTCGGTGTTTCTATCATAGGAGATTGCTTTACAGTTTAGATGTAACCATCTGAAATGAAAACAGCTGCCCCGGTGAGATCGAACTCACGACCTTCCAGATTACTCAGCTGGGTGATTATGTGAGACGACGCGCTGCCCACTGCGCTACCGAGGGCTTCAGGTGTTTCTATCATAGAGAATTTATACAGTAGAGATAGTACAACATCCTAAAATGAAAACGGCTGCACGGCCAGGTGAGGATCGAATCGACATTGCAATTACTCGCTGGGTGATTATGATGATTTACGCGCTGCCTACTGCGCTACCGAGGCTTTGATTTCGATCATAGAGATTCTATACGAAAAAGTATGTAACATCCTAAAATGAAAGAACGGGTGCCCCGGGTGGGGATCGAACTCACGACCTTCTGATTACTCGCTGCAGTTTATGGGAGACTGACGCGTTGCCTACTGCGCTACCGAGGCTTCGGTGGTTTCTATCATAGAGGATTATGCAGTAAAAAGATGTAACATCCTAAAATGAAAGGCTGCCACGCGGTGAGGATCAGACTCGACCTGTCAGATTACTCGACTGGGTGATTATGGACGACGCGCTGCCTACTGCGCTACCTGAGGCTTCAGGTTGGTTTTATGTCATAATTACGAGTAAGAATGTAACATCCAAAATGAATAACGGCGGTCGGGTGAGGATCAACTCACGACCTTCAAGATTACTCGCTGGAGTGATTGTAAGCTGACGCGCCCGCACGTGCAATACCGGGCTTCGTTGGTTTCTATCATGAGACTTACAGTAAAAGATGCCAACATCCTAAAATGAAAACAGAGCTGCCCCGGGTGAGATCGAACTCACGACCTTCAGATTACTCGCTGAGTGATTATCAGACTGACGCAGCTACCTACGCGCAGAAACTCGAGGCAGTGTTTCTATCTATGAAGTATATATAGTAAAGTGCAACATCTAAAATGAAAACGAGCTGCCCCTCGGTGAGGATCCGAACTCGACTGACCTTAAGATAATACTCACTGGAGTATTTGGAGCACTGAGCCTTGCTACTGTCACCTATGCTCAGGCTTCAGTGGTTTCCTATCATAGAGAGAGTTATACAGTAAAATGTAACATCTAAAATTAAAAAGCTGTCCGCCTGGTGAGGGATCGATCACGTCATTACTAAGATACTCGCTGGGTGATTAGAGACTGAACGCTTCTGCTACACTGCTGCTACGAGGCTTCAGTGGCTTTCACTCAAGGATTATACAGTAAAAGTGTAACATCCTAAAATGCTTGGCTGCCCCGGGTGGGATCGAACTCACGACTTGGAGATTGCTCGCTGGAGTGATTATGAGACTGACGCGCTGCCTACTGCGCTACAGGCTTCGGTGGTTTCTACTCATAGAGTTGTCAGTAAAAAGATGTAGACTCTATTGAAAAACGGCTGCCCCGGGTGAGGTCGAACTCACGACCTTCAGATTACTCGCTGGAGTGATTATGAGATCGACGCGCTGCCTACTGCGCTACCGAGGCTTCGGTGGTTTCATCATAGAGAATGCAGTAAAAGATGTAACATCCTAAATGAAAAAAGGCTGCCCGGTGAGGGATCGAACTCACGTCATTCATTACTCGCTGAGTGATTATGAGTTGACGCGCATGCATCTGCGCTACTCGAGGCTTCGGTTGTTTTATCATAGAGAGTTTCAGTAAGATGTAACATCTAAAATGAAAAGAGCTCTGCCGGGAGATCGAATCACGACTATTTAATTACTCCTGAGTGATTATGAGACTGACTGCGTACTGCCGCTACTCGAGCTTCGTTGGTTTCTAATCATAGAGATTATGACGGTAAAGATGTAACCCTAAAATGAAAACGGCTGCCCGGGTGTCGAACTCGACCCTGTTACTCCTGGAGTGATTATGAGACTGACGCGCTGCTACTACCATAGCGAGGGCTTCGTGGTTTCTATCATAAGAGAGTTATACTAGCAAAAGATACAACATCCTAAAATGAAAAGAGCTGCCCCGGTGAGATCAAGTCACGACTTACAATTACTCCTGGAGTGATTGAGTTACGCGCATGCGTACTGCGCTACCGAGCTTCGGTTGGTTCTATCATGAGAGTTATACAGTAAAAGATGTAACATCCTAAAATGAAAACGGCTGCCCCGGTGAGGATCGAGACTCACGACTCAGATTACTCGCTGGAGTGATTATGAGACTGACGCGCTGCCTCTACTGCGCTACCGAGGCTTCCGGTGGTTTCACTCAAAGAAGTTACACGGTAAAAGGTAGCAACATCTAAAATGAAAAAGCTGCCGCGCGGTGAGGATCGAACTCACGACCTTCAGATTACCGTGGAGTGATTATGAGATCGCGCGCCTTCTACTCGCTACGAGGCTTCGGTGGTTTTATCAAGAGAGTATCAGGTAAAAGATGTAACATCTAAATGAAAACGGCTGCCCCAGGTGAGGATCAGATCTAGCGACCTTCTGAATTACTCGCTGCAGGATTATGAGACTGACGCTGCCACTGCGCTACCGAGGCTTCGGTTGTTTCTATCATAGAGAGTTTATACAGTAAAAGATGCAACATCAAAATGAAAACGGCTGCCCCGGTGAGGATCAGACTCACGACTTTAGATTACCTCCTGGAGTGTGTAAGGACTGACGCGCTGCTACTGCGCTGAAGGCTTCGGTTGTTTCATCATAGAGGTTATACAGTAAAAGTTGTAACATCCCTAAAATGAAAAACGGCTTGCCCCGGGTGAGATCGAACCAGATTCTCAGATTACTCGCTGAGTGATTAAGACTGCGCTTGCTACTGCGCGTACGAGCTCGGTGTTTCATCATAAGAGTTATCAGTAAAAGATTAACATCCTAAAATGAAAACGCTGCCCCGGTGAGGATCGAACTCACGTAGCTTCAGATTACTCGCTGGAGTGATTATGAGACTGACGCGCTGCCTCTGCGCTACCGAGGCTTCGGTTGTTTCTATCATAGAGTTATACAGTAAAGTGTAACATCCTAAAATAAAAAGGCTGCCCCGGTGTAGGAGTCGAACTCATTCTAATTACTCCTGGAGTGATTAGGCTACGCGCTGCCTAGCACTGCGTAGGGCCTTCGGTGGTTTCATCAAGAGGAGGTTATGCGTAAAAGATGAACATCCTAAAATGAAAACGGCTGCCCCGGGAGGATCGAACTCGACCTTGAGATTACTCGCTGGAGTGATTGAGACTGACGCGCTGCCTACTGCGCTACCGAGGCTTGGTGGTTTCTATAATAGAGAGTTATGCAGTAAAAGATGTAACATCCTAAAATGAAGCAGTGCCCCGGGTGAGGATCAGAACTCACGACTTCAGATTACTCCGCTGGAGTGATTATAGACGCGCTCTGCTTACTGCTAGCGAGGCTTCGGTGGCTCACTCAAGAGAGTTATACAGTAAAAGATGTAACATCCTAAAATGAAAAAACGGCTGCCCCGGGTGAGGATCGAACTCACGACCTTGAGATTACTCGCTGGGTGATTATGGAACTGACGCTGCCTACTCCGCTACTCGAGGCTTTGGTGGTTTCTATCATAGAAGTTATGCAGTAAAGATGTAACATCCTAATAAGCGGCTGCCCCGGGAGGATCGAACTCACGACCTTAGATTACTCTTAGAGTGATTATGAATATTTACGCGCTGCCTACTGCGCTACGAGGCTTCGCTGTTTCATCATAGAGAGTTTATACAGAAAAGTTGTAACATCCTAAAATGAAAACGGTGCCCGGGTGAGGATCGAACTCACGACCTTCAGATTTCTCGCTGAGTGATTATGAGACTGACGCGTTGCCTACTGCGCTACCGAGGCTTCATTGTTTCTATCATAGGATTATGCGTAAAAGATGTACATCCTAAAATGAAAAAGGCTGCCCGGGTGAGGATCGAACTCACGACCTCAGATTACTCGCTGGAGTATTATGAGACTGCGCTTGCCTACTGCGCTACCGAGGCTTCGGTGGTTTATCATAGAGATAGCAGTAAAGATGAACATCCTGAATAACGCGTCCCGGGTGAGATCAGAACTCACGACCTTCAGATTACTCGCTGGAGTGATTATGAGACTGATGCGCTCCTACTGCGCTCAGAGACTTCGGTGGTTTCTATCATAGAGAGTTATGCAGTAAAAATGTAACATCCTAAAATGAAAAACGGCTGCCCGTGAGGATCGAACTCACGACCTTCAGATTACTCCTGGGTGATTATGAGACTGACGCGCTGCCTACTCTTACCGAGGCTTCGTGGTTTCTATCATAGAATGTGCAGTAAAGGTGCAACATCCTAATGAAAAAGGCTCCGGGTGAGGATCAGACTCACGCATTCAGATTACTCGCTGAGTGATTATGAGACTGACGCGCTGCCTACTGCCGCTACCGGTTCGGTTGTTTCTCATAGAGTTATACAGTAAAAGATGTAACATCATAAAATAGCTGCCCCGTGTGAGGGATCGAACTCACGACTTAATTACTCCTGGTGATTGTAAGGACTGACGCGCTGCTACGCGCTACCGAGCTTCGTGGTTTCATATATTGAGGTTTATACAGTAAAGATGTAACATCCCTAAAATGAAAAAAGGCTGCCTCGGTGGAGGATCAGAACTCACGATCTTCAGTTACTCCTGGAGTGATTGTAGTGAGCTGACGCTGCCTGCAGGCTGAGCTCAAGGTTCAGTTACTCAAGAGTAGCAGTAACAGGCAAAGATTATAGCATCCTAAATGAAAAAGGCTACCTGCCGGTGGAATCCAGACTCACGACGCTTCAGATTACTCGCTGGGTGATTATGAGACATGACGCGTTGCCTCTACGCTAGCAGGGCTTCACGGGTTTTTTATCATAGAGAGTTAGCACAGTGAAGATGTAACATCCAAATTAAATGAAAAGCGCGCTGTGAGGAGTCGAACTCGCGACACTTCCAGTTACTCACATGGTGATTAAATTGATGACATCGTTGCTACACGCTGCGAGGCTTCAACGTGGTTTTCCATCAATAAGGTTATACAGTAAAAGGTACATCCTTAAATGAAAACTGGCTGCCGGGTGATCAGACTCCCGACCTTGCGATTCTCGCTGCGAGTGATTTATGAGACTGGCTACTTGCGCCTAGCAGGGCTTCGTGCGTTTCTTTATCATAAGTTAAGGTAAAATGTAACATCCTAGGCGAAAAACGGCTGACCCCGGGTGAGGATCAGATCGACCTTAGTGACTCCTGGATTGTGATTATAGATTGACGCTCTGCCTACAGGCTGAGGTAACTTCGGTGGCTTCCTCATTATAGAGGTATACAGTAAAAAGATGTAGACATCTAAAATGAAAAACAGGCTGGCCTGCGGTGCAGGATCGAACTCACGATATTCAGATTCTCGCTGGAGTGATTATGAGACTGACGCTGCCTCTCCGCTACGTAGGATTCGGTGGTTTTATCATGAAGTTACGAGTAAAAGATGTAACATCCCAAAATGAAAAAACGGCTGCTGCCCGGGTGAGGATCGAACTCACGACCTTCAATTACTCCTAGATGATTACTTGATTTGACGCGCTACTGCGCTACCGCAGGCTTCAGTGTTTCATCATAGAGATTATACAGTAAAGATGTAACATCCTAAAATGACAAACAGATGCCCAGGGGAGGATCACTCACGACCTTCAGAATTACTCCTTGATTATGGCTGACGCATACTACGCTACCGGGCTTCGGTGATTTCTATCATAGACGAGTTATGCAGTAAAAGATGTAACATCTAAAATATGAAAAAGGCTGCCCCGGTGAGATCGAACTCACGACCTGCAGATTACTCGCTGGATATTATGTGAACTGAGCGCTGCCTCCTGCGCTACCGAGAACTTCGGTGGTTTTATCTGAGAATGCATTGACCAAAGATGCAACATCCTAAAATGAAAACGGTGCCCAGGAGGATCAGACTCACGACCTTCAGATTACTCGCTGGAGTGATTACAAGGACTGACGCGCTGCCTACTGCGCTTCTGCCGAGGCTTCGGTGGTTTCTTATCATGAGAGTTTGATAAAGATGCAACATCCTAAAATGAAGCGCGCTTGCCCGGGTGGGAGATCGAACTCACGACAGCTTCGAGATTACTCGCTGGAGTGATTATGGGACTGACGCACTGCCTACTGCGCTACCGAGGCTTCGGTGGTTTCTATCATAGAGATTATGCAGCGTAAAGATAGCAACATCTAAATGAAAAAAAGGCTGCGCCGAGGTGAGGGATCAGGGCTAACTCGACAGTATACTGTAGTGTCCGACGGCTACTACTGCTACCGCTTCGGTCTATGGTGCCACGTAGACATTCAGGTAAAGTAGTGAGACGCGCATGTTAGTTTGGCACGCGCTGCCTACTGCGCTACCGAGGGCTTCGGTTGTTTCTTATCATAGAGAGTTTTACATAAAAGATGTAACATCAAAGCAAAATGAAAAGGCTGCCCCGTGTGAGGATCGAACTCACGACATTATAATTACTCGCTAGGGATGATTATGAGACCGACAGCGTACTGCGCTACCGAAACTGGTGAGTCTCTATCATGAGGATTATACGGTAAAGATGCAACATCCTAAAATGAAATAACGGCAAATTCGGGTGAGGATCGAACTACGACCTTCCAGATTACTCCTGGAGTGATTATGAATGTGCGCTGCTACTGCATAGCCGAGGCTTCAGTGGTTCTCAGACATGAGAGTTATGACAGTAAAAAGGTAAGCATCCTAAAATTTAAAACGGCTGCCCCGGTGAGATCAGACTCAGACCTTCAGATTACTCGCTGGGTGATTTACTGAGACTGACGCGCTGTACTAGCTGATTCAGCTGGTTTCTTCATGGAGCAGAGTGCTACAGGAGCCTGCCCCCAGGTGAGGTGAATTCAGGACCTTGCAGGATCTCACGAGGATTGGAGACTGACCTGCACCCGAGGCTCTGCTACAAGCATTTGACATATTAACATCAAGAAAGGTAAAAAACAGCATTGCCGGTGAGATCAGAACACACTCGATATATGAGTATTAACTGAGACGACACATAGCTACGCAAACATAGTGAGTTATCATAAGATTCGTAAATTACACACTCCAAAATTGGAAACAGCTGCCAACGAGAGACGAATCACGACCTCAGATACACTGGGAATCAAGACAATCTAACAAGCCTACAACATTCAGCAGTTCTATGAATATATATACTACAATGATGGGTAACACATCAATTAAAAGTCCCAGGTGAGATCAAACTTGACTAGATAACTCCGAGGTTTCAATCTGAAGGATCACAAGTAAGGCTTCGTGGTCCTATCCAGGATCTTACAGAGATGCAACAAAAAGGAAAAACCGCGTAGGATGAACTCACGACCCTAACTCGCTATAATGAACTGAAGCGGTCCTACGTACAGCCGTGGTTTCTACAATAATATATACAGTCAAACAAGTACAAATCCCTAGAATGAATTATCTAACACTTCTGGAAAGACCAGCACAACAATTACCGACATGGTGATGGCAAGATACTGCTAATGCGGCTCGGTATTCTTCTTAGTAAAGCTTATACAGAAAGAGATGTATAGCATCTAAATAAACATGCTAGTAGGATCAAACTTCAGCTACAGATACTCGCTGAAGATTGCAGGATAGCTATCCTACATTAAATGCGCTACTCATGAACTAAATCGAGGTGGTTTCATCCATAATTTATACAAACCAGATCTAACTGCTAAAATGAACAAACAAACTTATCCTAAACTCACCGATCAATACAGATACTCGGGATGATTAAGAGAGTGCTTTGCTTTACTCGGTTCAGTAAGGTTTTATCATAGACGATAAGAAATGTAACATATAATGCACGTGTCGGAGACGAACCACGACCTAATCAGATTATGTGAGTGACGCGCGCACTGCGTCAGAGTCAGGGTCAATGTATGAATTTAACAGTACGATGTTTAACACTAAAAGTAAAACGTCCGTGAGGATCATTATAACAAACAGATGAACCAGATACTACGCTGATTTCAGGGAGATAGACCCGCCACAGTAACTAGCATGCGTTTGCATCATCAAACGAGATATAATATAGTAAAAACAGATGCTAACACCTGTAAACTATGAAAACCTTAAGGCATAGCTACGGGTTCAAGATGATACTTAAACAAGCACCTCAACCGATAACAGCGATTTTAAACGACACGGTGAAACCGCTTGTACAATCCAACAAAATGCAATCAATGCGAGCTTCGTAGGATTCCTAATATAAGAGTTATACATAAAACAATAACCAGTCAATAATGATACAACGTCCGACCCTTGAATAATTACCACACGAATCACTCAGCTGTATTAGAATCAATGAGCGCTAGTCTAGACGCTAAACAGGTTAATGATTTCATCAGAGGGTGCTTGCATTAAAAGATAACACTAAAACGAAATAAACAGCGTTGGTAGATCAACTAGAAATTCATTCTGTGGTGATATGAACACCGCGCTAATTCGCATGCGAATTCGTCGGTTTAACTCAATAGGTTATGCAGTAAAAGATATAATAACATACTGACAATATAGCAAATATTAACTAGGCTTATGTAAAACCAAGGGAGATCAGACCTCCAGCGTTAAGGGATACCCAAAATCGCTATAGTTGCGTCAAAAAATACTGTTGCAATGATTGTAATTCAACCATGAGAATGTATTTATACATACAATGAGACCCCATCAAAATGAGAAACGGCAACAATCCATCCTAAGAGTGGATTGGGAAATCAGAAATGCAACGGCATCTAAATCAGATTACTCGCAATGATTCGATATATGAGGCTGACGCGTTGCCTGCTAGCGCTAGCCAGGCTTCGGCGGTTTTTCAAAGAGTTATACGGTAAAGTGTAACATCTAAAATGAAAAACAGCTGCGCCGGGTGAGATGACTCACAGACCTAGATTTACTCGTCTGGAGTGATTATGAGATGTCGCAAGCTGCCTATCCGCTAGCGTGGCTTCGGTGGTTTCTTATCACTAGAGTATACAAGCAAAAGATGTTAACATCCTAATATGAAAAACGGCTGCCCCAGGGGAGGATCGACTCCGACCTTCAGATTCTCGCTGCGAGTGATTATGAGAGCGACGCGTGCCTGCATGCGCTAGCGCCGAGGCTTCGGTTTTTCTATCAAGGGATTATACAGATAAAGATGTACCCGCATCTGAAAGAAAGAAGGCTGCCACAGTGTTGAGGATCAGACTCACGACTTATAAATTACTCGCTGGAGTGATTATAAGACGACGCGCTTGCCTGCAGCATACGAGCTTCGACGTTGTTTATTTATCATAAGAGGTTATACAGTAAAGTGTAACATCTAAAATGAAAACGGCTTGCCCCGATGTGAGGATCGAATTCACGATTTCAGATTACTCGCTGAGTGATTAATCAGACGACGCGCTGCTTAGCGCTAGCTTGGCATACTGGCGGTTTCATATCAAGAGTAATACAGTAAAGATATAACATCCTAGAAAGAAAAACGGCTGCTCCTGAAGTGAGGATCGAACTCACGACCTCCAGGATTACTCGCTGGAGTGATTATGAGACTGACAGCGCTGCCTACTGCGCTACCGAGGCTTCGGTGGTTTCTATCATGAAGTTATGCAACAGAAAATGTAACATCCTAAATGAAAACGGCTGCCCGGGTGAGGATCGAACTCACGATTCTAATTCTCCTGGAGTGATTAAGACTGACCGCTGCCTCTGCTGCTAGCGAGGCATTCGGTGGTTCATCAAGAGTTATACAGTAAAGATGTAACATCTAAATGAAAAACGCTTGGCTGCCCCGGTGAGGATCAGACTCACGACCTTCAGATTACTCCTGGAGTGATTATGAGACGACGCGCCTACTGCGCTCTAGGCTCGGTGTTTCTATCATAGAGGGTTATACAGTAAAGATGTAACATCTAAAAGAAGAAGCTGCGGGTGAATCCGAACTCACGACCTTGCAGATTACTCGCTGGAGTGATTATGAGACTGACGCGCTGCCTACTGCGCTACAGGCTTCGGTGGTTTCTATCATAGAGAGTTATCAGTAAAATGTAACATCCTAAAATGAAAACAAGTTCCCCGGGTGAGGATCGACCTCACGATTCAGATTACTCGCTGGAGTGATTAAAGACTGACGCTGGTTACTGCATTAGCGAAGCTCGGTGGTTTCATCATAGAGAGTTATGCAGTAAGATATAACATCTTAAAATAAAAACAGCTGCCGGTGAGGATCGAACTCACGACATTCAGATTACTCGCTGGAGTGATTATGATGTGACGCGCTGCCTACTGCGCTACCGAGGCTGGGTTGGTTTCTATCATGAAGTTTACAGTAAAGATGTAACATCCTAAAATGAAAAACGCTGCCCGGGTAGGATCGAACTCACGACCTTCAGTTACTCGCTGTGATGATTATGGAGACTGACGCTGCCTACTGCGCTACCGGGGCTTCGGTTTTATCATGAGAGTTATACGTAAAGATGTAACATCCTAAAAAGAAAACAGCTGGGAGAATCAGACTCACGACCTTGATTACTCGCTGGAGTGATTATGAGACTGACGCTACCTACTGCGCTACCGAGCTTCAGTGGTTTCTATCATAGAGTTATGCAGTAAAATCTTAACATCCTAAAATGAAAAACGGCTGCCCCGGTGAGGATCGACTCACGACCTTCAGATTACTCGCAGGGAGTGATTATGAGACGCGCTGCCTACTCGCTACCGGGCTTCGGTGGTTTCTATCATAGAGATATCGGCAACAAAAAGATGCTCGCATCCTAATATGAAAACGCGCTGCCCCGGGTGAGGATCCAGACACGACCTTCAAGATTACTCGCTGAGTGATTATGAGACTGACGCTGCTGCCTACTGCCTACGAGGCTTCGATGTTTCTATCATAGGAGTTATACGGTAAGATGTAACATCCTAAAATTAAAAAAAGCTGCCCCGTGTGAGGATCGAACTCCGACATTCTAGTTACTCCTGGTGATTAGAGACTGACGCTCTGCTTACTGCTAGCGCGAGGCTTCGGTGGTTTCATCAAGAGGGTTATACAGTAAAGATGTAACATCCTAAAATGAAAACAGCTGCCGGGGGATCGAACTCACGACCTTGAGATTACTCGCTGGAGTGATTATGAGACGCGCGCTGCCTACTGCGCTACCGGGCTTCGGTGGTTTCTATCATAGAGTTATGCAGTAAAAATGTACATCCTAAAATGAAAAACGGCTGCCCCGGTGAGGATCGAACTCGACTTAAATTACTCCTGGGTGATTATGAGACTGACGCGCTGCTACTGCGCTGAGGCTTCGGTGGTTTCATCATAGAGTTATACAGTAAAGTTGTAACTCTAAAATGAAAACGGCTTCCCGGGTGAGGATCAAACTCACGATTTTCAGTTACTCGCTGGAGTGATTAAAGACTGACGCGCTGTTACTGCTACGAAGCTCGGTGGTTTTCAATCAGAGAGTTATGCAGAAGATATAAGTCCTAAAATGAAAACAGTTGCCCGGGTGAGGATCGAACTCACGACTTCGTTACTCGCTGGGTGATTATGACAGACGCGCTGCCTACTGCGCTACCGAGGCTTCGTTGGTTTCTATCATAGAGAGTTTTACGAGTAAAAGATGTAACATCCTAATAAAACGGCTGCCCCGGGTAGGATCAACCGACCTTGATTACTCGCTGGAGTGATTATGAGACTGACGCCTGCCTACTGCTCCGAGGCTTCGGTGGTTTCTATCATAGAGAGTTATGCAGTAAGATGTAACATCCTAAAATGAAAACAGCTGCCCCGGTGAGGATCGAACTCACGACCTTCAGATTACTCTGCAGTGATTGTAGACTGACGCTGCCTACTGCGCTACCGAGGCTTCGTTGTTTCTATCAGAGAGTTATACAGTAAAAGATGTAACATCTAAATAAAAAAAAGCTGCCCCGGTGAGGATCAACTCACGACATTCAATTACTCGCCTGGAGTGATTATAGACTGACGCCTGCTTACTGCTTAGCGAGGCTTTGGTGGTTTCTCAAAGGGTTATCAGTAAAGACATCTAAAATGAAAAACAGCTGCCCGGGTGAGGATCGAACTCACATTGCCTTGATTACTCTGTGATTATGAACTGACGCGCTACCTACTGCGCTACCGAGGCTTCGGTGGTTTCTATCATAGAGAGTTATGCAGTAAAGGTGTAACATCCTAAAATGAAAAACGGCTGCCCCAGGTGAGGATCGAACTCACGACATTCAGATTACTCCCTGGGTGATTATGAGACTACTGCGTACTGCGCTACCAGAGCTGTTGTTTCTATCATAGAAGTTATACAGTAAAGTTGTAACATCCTAAAATGAAAACGGCTTCCCGGTGAGGATCGAACTCACGACCTTCCAGATTACTCCTGGAGTGTTAAGACTGACGCGCTGTCCTGCTTACTGACAGGTGGTTTCAATCAAGAAGTTATCAGTAAAGATTAACATCTAAAATGAAAAACAGTTCCTGCGGTAGGATCGAACTCACGACCACAGATTACTCGCTGGAGTGATTAGAGAGACTGACGCGCTGCCTACTGCGCTACCGAGGCTTCGGTGGTTTCTATCATAGAGAGTTATGCAGTAAAAGTAACATCCTAAAATGAAAACGCTGCCCCGGGTGAGGATCAGAACTCTCACGACCTTCAGATTACTCGCTGGAGTGATTATGAGACTGACGCGCTTACTGCGCTACCGAGGCTTCGGTGGTTTCTATCATAGAGAGTTATACAGTAAAAGATGTCATCTAAAATAAAACGGCTGCCCCGGGTGAGGATCGAACTCACGACCTTCAGATTACTCGCTGGGTGATTTGAGACTGACGCTGCCTACTCGCTACCGAGGGCTTCGGTGGTTTCTATCATAGAGATATGCAGTAAAAGATGTAACATCCTAAATGAAAACGCTGCCCCGGGTGAGGATCAACTACGACCTTCAAATTACTCGCTGAGTGATTATGAGACTGACGCTGCCTACTGCTACCGAGGCTTCGGTTGTTTCTATCATAGAGATTATACAGTAAGATGTAACATCCTAAAATAAAAAAAGTTGCCCGGTGAGGATCGAACTCCGACATTCAGATTACTCCTGGGAGGTTAAAGACTGACGCTCTGCTACTGCATAGCGAGGCTTCGGTGGTTTCTATCAGAGGAGTATACGAGTAAAGATGTAACATCCTAAAATGAAAACGGCCCGGGTGAGGATCAGAACTCACGACGAGATTACTCGCTGGGGTGATTATGAGACTGACGCGCTGCCTACTGCGCTACCGAGGCTTCAGTGGTTTTCTATCATAGAGTTATGCGTAAAAATGTAACATCCTAAAATGAAAAAGGCTGCCCGGTGAGGATCGAACTCACACTTAATTACTCCCTGGGTGATATGGACTGACGCTGCTACTGCGCTTACCGAAGCTCGGTTGTTTCAGTCATAGAGAGTTATACAGTAAAGTTGTAACATCTAAAATGAAAACGCCCGGGTGAGGATCGAACTCACGATTTTCAGATTACTCGCTGGAGTGATTAGATGACGCGCTGTCTACTGCATTAGCGAGGCCTCGGTGGTTTCAATCATAGAGAGTTATACAGTAGATAGTAACATCAAAATAAAAGGCTGCCCCGGGTGGGATCGAACTCACGACCTTCAGATTACTCGCTGGGTGATTATGGACTGACGCGCTGCCTACGCTTCCGGGCTTCGTTGGTTTCTATCATGAGAGTTATACAGTAAAGATGAACATCCTAAAATAAAAACTGGCTGCCCGGGGGATCGAACTCCGACCTTCAGATTACTCGCTGGAGTGATTGAGGACTGACGCGCTGCCTACTGCGCTACGAGGGCTTCGGTGGTTTCTATCATAGAGAGTTATCAGTAAAGATGAACATCTAAAATAAAACGCTGCCAAGGTGAGGATCGAACTCACGACAGATTACTCGCTGGAGTGATTATGAGGTTGACTGCGCTTACTGCGCTACGAGGCTTCGGTGGTTTCTATCATGAAAGTTATCAGTAAAAATGCATCCTAAAATGCAAAAGGCTGCCCCGGGTGAGGATCGAACTCACGACCTGGTTACTCGCTGGAGTGATTATGAGACGCGCGCTGCCTCTCAGCTACCGAGGCTTCGGTGGTTTCTATCATAGAGTATGCAGTAAAAGATGTAACATCCTAAAATGAAAAGGCTGCCCCGGGTGAGGATCGAACTCACGACTTCAAATTACTCGCTGAGTGATTATGAGACTGACGCGCTGCCTAATGCGCTACCGAGGCTTCGGTTGGTTTCTATCATAGAGATTATACAGTAAAGAGTAACATCTAAAATTAAAAAGCTGCCCTGTGAGGATCGAACTCACGGATATAATTACTCGCTGGGTGATTATAAGACGCTGACGCGCTGCTACTGCGCTACCGAAGCTTCGGTGTTTAATCATAGAGGATTATACAGTAAAAGTGTAACATCCTAAAATGAAAAACGCCCCCAGGTGAGGATCAGAACTCACACCGATTTCAGATTACTCGCTGATGATTAAAAGACTGACGCGCTGCTACTGCATTAGCGAGGCCTCGGTGAGGTTTCAATCAAGGAGATTATACAGTAAAAATTATAACATCCTAAAATGAAAAACAACTGCCCCGGGTGGGATCGACTCACGAATTCAGATTACTCGCTGGAGTGTTATGAGGACAGACGCGCTGCCTACTGCGCTAAGGCTTCGTTGGTTTCTATCATAGAGTTTTACGGTAAAGATGTAACATCCTAAAATGAAAAACGGCTGCCCCAGGTGGATCGAACTCACGACCTTCAGATTACTCGCTGGGTGATTATGGAGACTGACGCGTGCCTACGTCGCCTACCGAGGCTTCGTGGTTTCTATCATAGAGAGTTATGCAGTAAAAGATGTAACATCCTAAAATGAAAACAGCTGCCCCGGGTGAGGATCGAACTCGACCTCAGATTACTCGCTGGGTGATTATGAGACGAGCGCAGCCTTGCGCTACCGGGCTTCGGTGGTTTCTATCATAGAGATATGCAGTAAAGATGCAACTCCTAAAATGAATAAAGGCTGCCCGGATGAGGATCGAACTCGACCTTTAGAATTACTCGCTTAGTGCTTATGATATTTGGCGCTGCCTACTGCGCTACCGAGGCTTCGCTGGTTTCATCATAGAGTTATACAGTAAAAGATGTAACATCCTGATATGAAAACGGTTTCCCGGTGAGATCGATCACGATTTCAGATTACCGCTGGAGTGATTAAAGACTGACGCGCACTGCACTTAGCTTGAGGCTTCGGTGGTTTTCACTCAAAGAGATTATACCGTAAAGATGTAACATCTAAAATGAAAAACGGCTGCCCGGGTAGGGATCGACCTCGACATTCAGATTACTCGCTGGAGTGATTTTGACATTACGCTTTCTCTGCACTACCAGGGCTTCATTGGTTTTCTATCATAGAGAGTTATACAGTAAAGATGTAACATCATAAAATAAAAAAAAGTTCCGTGTGAGGATCGAACTCACGACATTATAATTACTCCTGGAGTGGGGAAAGGACTGACGCTTTGCTACTGCGCTACCGAAGCTTCGTTGTTTCAATCATAGAGTTATACAGTAAAAATTTGTAACATCTAAAATGAAAAACGGCTTCCCCGGGTGAGGATCAGACTCACGATTTTCAGATTACTCGCTGAGTGATTAAAGACTGACGCGCTGCTTACTGCGTGCGAGGCCTCGGTGGTTTCAATCATAGAGTAATACAGTAAAGATATAACATCCCTAAAAGAAAAACGGCTGCTTGGGTAGAGATCGAGACTCCTGTCCAGCGAGTAATCTGAAGTTCGTGAGTTCGATCCTCAACCGGGGCAGCCTCTTTTGATTTTAGGATGTTACATCTTTTACTGTATAACTCTCTATGATAGAAGCCACCGAAGCGTCGGTAGCGCAGTAGGCATCGCGTCAGTCTCTTAAACACTCCAGCGAGTAATCTGAAGGTCATGAGTTCGTTTCTCACACTATGCAGCTATTTTTTTATTTTAGGATGATTTTTCTTTTACGGTATAATATTAATAGTTTTTTTTATTCTACCTTTTATTCTATTTTCATAATAATATTGTTTCAACGTCAAAACAAATGAAATCTGCGGTTTATAATTTTTAATTAACTTATAGGTCGCTAAGAATTAACCTTCCTTTTGATTTTATTTTACTTATTTTGAAGATTTGTTTAGGACTTGCACAATTTTCACTTTTACTTTTGTCATGAACTGGGTTAAACAAAATTCTGTAACAATTTTAATCCCTTATGTTTCTTGTCTCCGCCATTACCGACTTTGCATTCGCGTACCTCCAACTGTTCCTTCGCGTACCCCTATTGGTACGCGTACCACAGGTTGGGAATCTCTGTCGTAAATGATGTTTAGTTGTATTTAATATATTTGCGAATTTTTATCTGTTATTTTGATTCACTTTACTTCAGCACATTGAAATCCTTTTTAATGCAAATTTATGTATTTCACATTATAACACTTATTGTGTTTCTTCCGCGTCCTTGCCTATTTTTGATTGGCATTTGTTTATTTTTAAATTAGTGAATCATTTCTTATTTGACGTATTTGTCGAAGTTTTCATTTGCTCTGTCTGTTTTCAAAATCCATGTAATTGTAACCTTTGTAACCAGGTAGTTAAAAAAATTTTTTAAAAAAAAATTTCCTCTTGTCTACTCATATCATTACTTCAAAACTTCATTTTGCAATATTCTGCTTCTTGTGTTTAGGATTTGAAATATATATCTGAACTAAACTGAATGCATTCGATGCAAAGAAATAAATTTTTAAAGACATTCGATATCTTCCTCGAAAGTATAATTTACAAAAGCTTATATTTCACGATGTTCTCATTGTTCTTTCGGGAAACTACCATTATTAACCAATTTTGCTGCTTTCTCTGGAAGTTTATAGTTACGTATGTTATTTATTTATTTTTTTAAAACCAGCGGGAGTGGCCTCCAATAAACTTTCTCGTATACTTTTCAAACATTTGTCATTTCCCTTCTCGGACCAACTGTAACCCCGAATGCAATGACTATCAGAAGGTTTTTCATTGTTGATTATAGTGATAGTAAAATATTGAGGTGAAGAATCGTATTCATAAAGATAAGTATGTATTAAAACTTCGCAATATTTATTTTTTTTATCAAACTCTAGCAATGCAAGTTCCGCGTGCGGAGAAGAAAACAGGAGAATAGCTTGCTCTCTGAATACCTTGCGCATGCGCAGAGATTGCTTCCAATACGCAAGTAAAACGAGACGCCCTAAATGTTTGCCTCCTTACAAAATCTCCCCGCCAGAATTGGTTTTTGGCAAACTTCCAAGTTCTCGGAGTATCCCTTCTTTGCACAAGCATTTACGCATGCGCATGGAGTTGAACAAGTATGCTATTATACAGACCGACAGACAATCAGCCCTTTGACGGATTTGGCCCAAAATTTTATACGGACCTACATTCATGACGATAAAACTGTGTATCAAATTTTATCCATCTGGCTTTTCAAGTTTTTGAGTTATAGCGTTCGCATGACCTCGGACATACAGACAGACAGACTTCCCGTTGACGGATTTTGTCCAAAATTTTATAGAAATCTAAAAATTATGTTCAAAGACCACATACCAAATTTCATGCCCGTAGCTGTAATAGTTTTCGAGTTATCGTGTTCACAGAAAGACATAATTCCAAAATTGTGTTTTTCGGACTCGGGGAGGTCTAAAACGTGGAGATTCGTCAAAATCTCGAGTTCGAATTTTTTGACGATTACAATACTTTCTCTTGTATTCTCCGTATACGAGAAAGTAAAAAGCACACTACAGAGAAAACTCCAGTGCAGAAGCAAAATGAGCATGAAACACACAAAGAACGAAAGCCGTAATCAGTGAATCTTAAAGATATTAAAAAACTTATCAGAAAATTAAAAGCTGTATACAGTCGTCTTAAAAGCATTAAAAACATGGTAAGTATATAAAATTTCTAATCACTAAACAATAAAAAATTTATAAATGAATAAATAATTTAAAAGTTGAACACACATAGTCACAGAAACACAAAAAAGCACACCAGGATTTTAGAAGTTTATCACGTTTATATAAGATTTTTTTTTAAAAAAAAAAGCAAAAAATCATGAATTGAAAAATTTTCTTCTTGATTTTAAACTCATTGTCTGACTCTGTCGACCACCAGGGATCACTTCAAGCGAAATTCAGAAGATCTTTCATTTTTGCTGCGCGAGCACTTCCTTCGTTCCACATTTCGGAAGGGTTTAGAACAGGTTGTTCGTGTGCCTATTCGATTTTAATTTAACAAACATCCATTGTTGCTCTTGTATATGCGTTGTATTGAATTGAGATAGATAGGTTACAGTCCAGGTTATTCTAACATAAAAGGGATTGAAAAGACAAGACACCCCTCATGCCACTGCAATTGTAACCTTCCGGTAATTTCAACAGTGCAGCGGACCTGGGGCTCTACCACGATCCTACCGGCAACTATCCGTACCGAATAGTTTGTTGGAATTCAAATGAACTTGTTCAGTCACTGAATGAAAGCATCTCATTGGTTAATTTTCATGACGTAGCCGAAGTTACGGCACTAGTCTAAGTTGATTGGTTGTTACAATCTATATATATTGTTCATTTATGTTTTTAAATGAAGTAGCAGTAGTCGGTCGAATGGATGGCTGTCAGTGAGTGTGTAAGCTGCAAGACAGCAGCATGTCTTTATTTTTTAAAGTAAACTGGATTAAAGCTCTTTTGTATTTTAAACTGCCTGGTATCTGCGTTACTCTGCAATTTACACTCACGACATGCCAACAGTGGTTATGGGCCGTGCGATCCCATACTGATGATTGCCAGATGCAGTTTTAAGCCCTACTGTTTAAAGTAAACGGAAAGGATTGTGCCTGTTTGTTGTGAAGTCTATAAAGCAGATCGGAAGATGAATATGCCGGCGGAGTCTTCCCCATTTGCATTCCCGAAGTTGGATGGTTGTAATTATACCTCATGAAAGAAGACATGAAGGTCGTGCTGATGGATCGTGATTGTTGGAGCTTCATAATTGAAGATAAGCCATGTCCT